TCAGTGCTAATGGTTCATGCTTGTAATCCTACTCATGCAGGAGGCTGAGATCCAGAGAATTATAGTTTGAAGCCAGCCCAGGCATAAAAATCCATGAGATTCCATTTCCAAAAACACCAGCAAAAAGTTCAGCTGGGAGCATTGTTTAAGTGTTCAGTGTCAGTCAAACAAGTGTGAGACCTGAAGTTCAAGCTATAGTACTAGGGGTGGGGGGGCAGGCAGAGATGATACTAAAAATAAACAGCAAAGGCTAACAACACTTCATTTGTAAGCAAAGTGCTTATCTATATTATCTAATTTAATTCTCCCAACTGAAATAGGTATAACAATATACCTATTAATGTTATTATCTTCTCTTTTTTAATAAATGCAGGCCGTCCAGGGCTTTGTCTGATGAAGCAGCTTTCCAAGGCTGCACAGTCTGCCTCCATGTAGCTTCTTTTTCTACAAGAAGATACTTTAAAAACTCCCCAAAGCAACTTAAAAATAACCTTTTAGTTTTTAATTATGAGCTGATATTCTCAGGACTCCTTTAGCAAAGAAATTTGACTTTGTTCCTTCTACAACAGCCCCCTCTCAACCCTGAGAGATTTCTGTGCTTTTTTTTCTCCCCCTCTTTCTGCCTCTGCTTCTCCTTGGAATCATACCTGGGAGGTGTGCCCACTAGTGCTCATTCAGTTTCAGATTTACAGAATTTGGCCCAAGCTGCCAACCTGAAAATTTTGTCACCTGGGATCTGCTCCTTGGAGCATGGATGGGTAAAGTGCTCAGGCCCCTGGAGAGAAAGAAGCTGTGTTTAGATCAGTGGCACTGACTGGGGGCTGGGAGGCAGTGCCCATGTGTCCAAAGGGAGACAAAGGACACACTCAGTGAGAATGTGGCCTCAGGACCCACTGAGTCCAGAGGTCAGATTATATCTCCTGAGACCAAGCTTTGGGCCTGGCCTTTTACTTGTGCATTAAAGTTCTGCCCTTAGTAACTTAGGCAGGACTCTTAAGTATGACCCAGAACACAGCCTTTCAAACAGGCCAATTCTCTGCAGCCTGCTTGATGTTAGTGACCCCCTCCCCCCCCTTCCCCGCACTCCAGCATGAAGCACTGGGCTATTAAAATACTTGGGGTGCTGACTTGGAGCACAGTGGCCACTCACTTCAGCTATGGGATCCTAGAGCCCAGGGAAAGTCAGTGTGGCTGCCCAGCCCCTTAGCTCAGATTCCACAGAAGTGATTGAGAAAGCAGCCTGCCAGGCCTCACTAAAGTGCTTTTGGTGAGGAACCCCTCAAGGAATACCCCCTGCAGGCTGACAGGCTCTTTCAGGCACAGCTCAAAGTTTTCTGCAAAGCTGCCTATTGAAGCCTGCTAGAGGATCTCTGGCTGGCGAGGAGGCAACTGCCAGATGTTGCCTGAAGGCACCCACCAGATGTTGCTGGGCAGTCACCACCACAGTCATTCTGGATCTGGCCTTTACCATGTGTCACAGACTGGGCTGCCTCCCCAGACCATCCAGCACAGACCTTGATGTCCATATCGTTTCGATGGGACATAATCAGCTAAGTTAATGTGCCTTGGTTCATGACTGGCTGGACCAGGATTTATATATACCCTGGTCTGTCAGGATTTCTTCCCCTTCCAATATTAGGCCTCTTCAAAAGGTAGTGCCGACCCAACCTGATCTTGGGTGAGCATCTGAGTAGCATCATGACTACAGAGCAAATAGGAGGAAACATGGTTCTAGGGTCCAGGTACTGGGAACGGGAGTCATTGCAGAGATAGTCAAGGCAAAAGCCATCCTACTAGGAAGAGCAGGAGGTACTTTTCCCTTGTCCTACATTCGTCCTACTTTTACCTCTATGGACCAGCCTGTGCTGAAACAACCTGCTGGGGGAGGGGTGGCGAATTACAGTGTTTGATATCCAGACAAGAGCAGAAGTCTTTCTGTAGCTTTTCTGCCTTAGTAATAACTTCTGGCTCTCACCCAGTCTATCAAACCACTCTCCACTATATCTTTTGTTGAATTTCACGTGATGACTGCCTAGACTCAATTCCAATATGTCCTTGATCCCTAGACACATTATTTTTCCCCCCTCACATTTTAGTATGTTTGCAGCTGGCATACATCTTTTAGTGGAGATCTGCAATGAATTTTGTGTGGCTGTTTAAATTGCTGTTGCAGAAGGGAACCTTACTGCCTTGTTGGTGGAAGTGTAAACTTGTTCAACCACTTTGGAAAGCAGTATGGAGGTTCCTCAAAAGACTCCACATAGAGTTCCCCTATGACCCAGCAATCCCACTTTTGGGCATTTACCCAAAACAAGGCCACATTAAAGCTACCAGTATGACTATGTTTATTGCAGCATTATTTACCATAGCTAAGATATGGAACCAACCCAGATGTCCCTCAGTAGATGAATGGATCAAGAAAATGTGGTGTATATACACAATGGAATTCTATGCTTCCATCAGAAAGAATGACATTGCCCCATTTGTTAGGAAATGGAAAGACTTGGAAAAATTATATTAAGTGAAGTAAGCCAGACCCAAAGAAGCATAGGTCCCATGGTTTCCCTTATTTGCAATAACTAGTATATGTCTGAGTCAAGCATAAAAGGTCAGATAAGTTGATGTTAGGGAAATGAACCCTAAGATATGTATTCAAATGTTTATTTCTTTCAGGTGATTGTTTCTAACACATTTATAAGATTATTTCTTTGTTGCTTTGTATGTCCCTCCCCCACGGTATAACCCCTGCTTTCACTGTATTTGAGAATGGTATAAACAAAGGGGAAACAAAGGAGGAGGCTACAATGCTTGATAAGAAATGTACTCATCATCTTGCCCATTGTAATTGTAATTGTAATTGTAATCCCTTTGTACAGTATTTTCACAATAAAAAAAAATTTGATGGTAAAAAAAAAAAAAGTGCCTTGAGCACAAAAGCTCGAGGACAGTGTCCAGGATCTGAGTTCAAGCCCCATGAAAAGAAAGCAAGAAAGCAAAAAAGTAAGCAAGGAAACAAGCAAGCAAGAAAGATGATGTTGGTATAATTTGTGGAGGGGAAGGGCAAAAACAAGTTGTTTAACTAGGGATACAGGTGGACCCATTGCAACAATGAGACGAACAAGTCATGTCGAAAAATGAACTTTACAACTTTGGTGGGGGGGGGGGGAGGATCAAGTGGGGGGTGGGGGGGAGTATGGGAAGGGATTGGAAGGGGAAACAAAGGAGGAGGCAACAATGTTTGCCCATGTAATTTTAACTCCTCTGTACGGTATTCTCACAATAAAAAAATAAATTAAAATTAAAATTAAAAAAATTAAATTGCTGTTGCATTTGTAGAATTGAGAGAGACCAAGCAGGAAAGAGGAAAGAGGAGAATTCAAGTCTTTACTCAACCCATCAATTGCTTTCAAGCAATTTCAGGTGTTAATGTAATTATAGAAGTTAACTAGTGTACAATCCTTGAGGTTCTAGCCTAGAGTTGAGGAGCTGGACTAGTCATATCAACAGCGAGAGCTTGCTGTGGCCAGGACTGTAAATTTGGGGAAGGATCACGGGAGGGCTGGTGGGACTGTTTAGGGAGAAAGTGTGTCATGCAGGATGGGGTAATAGAGGGCTTGAAGGGAGGTTAGAATGGATTGGGGAATGGTATTCCAGACAAATTAAATCATTGGGGGCAAACAAAGGTTGAGATTCAGGAGAAAATGGGGTGCATTTGGAATCATCAAAGGTTCTTTGCAGTAGGAATACAGGTGTGTAGGAGGCTGGGGAGCCATGGCATAAAATGACACTGCAAGGATAGATAGGGCCAGATCTGGGGGACCTTGAGCACAGTAGAGATTAGATTAATCTCTATCATGGGTTCAAATGTGAATCATTCTAAGTTAGGGAATCTGACTTGTATGTTCAGGAATTCCACAAAGAAAACAGATGGGAAGAGGCCGGTGGATGGGAGCAGATGGATAAGGTGACAGTGACTGATAAGGAAAGAGGACTTACTCTGGGAGACGCACAAGGCTTCCTTTTCATTTACTATTCCTACACAAGTTGGCCTAGTTTTAAATGTGTGTGTGTGTGTGTGTGTGTGTGTGTGTGTGGCTTGAAGAAGATCACCCAGTGGTGCAGCTAAGCAACTAACAATTGAACCTGCAGCCACCAGGGGCTTTGGTCTGGTCTTAATCTTATGACACATGTCCTTGTCTGAGGAGAGCCCCAGGATCAGTTGGCAGACTGATCTATGATTGTCCAGAAAGTTAGAACAAGAAAAAAATCTTACTATTTGTCTCTACTGTTGAAAGATGTGTTACATAAGCCTACAATAGTGGCCTTCCAACTGGTACTTCCCAGTTGGAAGTACCAAGCCACTGGTGTGTGTGTGTGTGTGTGTGTGTGTGTGTGTGTACCAGGACTGGGGCTTGGACTTAAGGCCTCTCCATTTTGCTTGGCTTTTTTGCTCAAGGCTGGCCTCTAATATAAAGGCTCTACTTTTGGCTTTTTGCTGATTAATTGGAGGTATGAGTTTAATGGACTTTTCTGCGTGGGCTAGTTTTGAACTGTGATCTTCAGATCTCAGACTCTTGAGTAGCTAGGTTTACAGGTGTGAACCACCAGTGCCCGCCCTAATTAGAATTTATTTTTCTTTTCATAATTGGATGGGAGATGTGCCAGCGCTTGGGAAAACAAGTGCAAGTATTGGTGAAATCCTCATAGGAAAGTCACAGTGAACCTATCTCAGTCTGGTATCAGATATGAGTGTTTTGAGTCTCAAGAAAGACTGAGATAAGTTGCCATAGTTGTACATTAGGGTCCAGATAGCAAATACGTAACTATAATTGCTGCTGGTAATTTACAGGTGCACCTGTGAGAGATATTCTGGAGACAGATGGGATGAGAGGTAGAAGGAACCCTTCCATTGAATGAGATGCTTGGTGAGGGATGGAAGAATGACGTGATATTGTGACCCTAGACTTACCATTTTCTTTTCTTCCTGCTTCTCTGCACAGGTGCAATGCCATACTTACACGGGGTACTGCTGGTGTGTCACCCCAGATGGAAAGCCCATCAGTGGCTCTTCTGTGCAGAATAAAACTCCTGTATGTTCAGGTACCGTAGAGAGGGGCGGGGAGGATGTGACAAGGTTGGAGAGAGACCTCTTGGTTGTTCTCTACATCTTATGGGGGAACCTTTGGAAGGTTAGGTGGTAGTTTTGGGTTCTTTTCCAGGTCAGGGGGATTCTAATCTACTGCATTTACTCAGTAATCAGCTGGGTGAAGAGGGTCTATATGTGCCTGCAAGTGTACATTAAAACATTTTTTACAGGGTACATTTTTGGTTCAATACTCCTTTCCTAAGCATTGAAACTCTTAGAGTTAGGATGGGATACCATTTTTTAGCTTGTATGATGACTGATAGATTTAGAGATGACATGGGACTTTGGCCTCAAAGGTGCAGCAATCGATTAGTAATGTCTCTCATGGGCACAGGATAGGAGTCTCTGTGCCATAGATTTGTTACCCCTGAATAATGTAATGGAAAACTTTTTTCATAATAGCGATTCTTAAACCTAGCTGATTATCAGAAGTGTCTTGAGAGTTAAAAGCCAGATGTCAACACTCTTCTTTGTATATTCTGTCAGTTGATCTGCAGTAAGACCTGAAGTCCTTATTTCTATGGGGCTTTCCAGGTAGTTCTGATGATTAGATAAATTAGCTAATCTGTAGCACAAAGGAAATCTTTTCTATTTTCTACTTTATCACTATAAAGGAGTGTTGCTATTTGGTCAGTGTTAAGGGATTGAGGATTATGGATTTATGCAAACCCCATACCTCACACCTCTATTTATTAGTAAGGGATTCATGAGCCACTCCTCTGAATTCACTCTGTAGCTCAGCCCTTATTCCAAAAAGCCCATCTCATCCATCCAGGGCTTCACATTTATCCACATTGGTGTTTGGCAGGCTTTATTCATTTACTTTTTTTTTTTTTTTTTTTTTTTTTTGGGTCCGGTTGTGGGGCCTGAACTCTGGGCCTGAGCACTGTCCCTCAGCTCTTCAGCTCAAGGCTAGCGCTCTACCACTTGAGCCACAGCGCCACTTCCGGCTTTTTTTTTTTCTTTTTGCTTATGTGGTGCTGAGGAATCGAACCCAGGCATGCAAGGCAAGCGCTCTACCACTGAGCCAACTTCCCAGCCCCATTTACTTTTTTTTAAGTACAAAGTATACAACACTATGTTAAAACCTATGGAAAATAATCAAAGACCCCAAGTCTTAGTGAAGTCTTACTTCTTTTTGTCTACTGGCCCATCTATATCCAGGGGAAAGTAAGCAGAAAGAGCAATAAGAATGTATGTTAGGAAACCAAAATTTACAGACCAAAAGGAAAGTTTACTTTATTTGTGGACTACATGGAAACTGGAAACCTTAATTGGGGTTGGAGTGGGGAAGGGCAGGAATTAGCCCTCCTTGTAAGTGACCTGGAAAGTTTCATTTAAAACAAACAACTGAAGTTGGAAATAAGCGACACAGGGTAATATAGTGGATTGCTCACAAAACTAGTAGCTAGAGTAAGGCTATTATATGTATCTGAAAAATACTGATTCTCTCTTTTCTTTTGGTGGGACCTCCACAGATGGCTTTCTGTAGGTGATTAGTTTTGCCCTACATGTGTGAAGTTGAGATTCATGGAAAAAGACAGGTGACATGGAGTTAGATCTGGAGGATGGGTACATACGGCATCCAACATACAGGACAAATGTTTGGCCCAAAACACATGCTCCCCACTCTGAGGAAGGGGCTGTGTGCTGAAAATTGTTTCCATGCCTCAGACTATTTTGGCCCATTCAGTACAATTGGGCCAACAATTTTCTCCTTAATGCAGATGGAAAATTGCTGATTTCCTGCCCTAACCAGCAAGGGATGTCAATCAATGTATTTGTAGTATGAAGGGGTTTCTTTTCCTTTGGCCCTGCTGACAGGATATGGGTCAGAACATGGAGCTGGTGAGAAGTGGGGGACTCAGGAGGCCTGGAGTTAAGGAGCAGATATTGGAATGCTCAGCAGGGGAACTAATTGTATGTGGAATATTGTAAAAGCTTAGTCAAGACCATTGCCAGGGAACCTGGAAATCATAGTTCATCTCAAAACAGTGCTGGGATATCAGTGACATTGATGTTAAACAAACCCCAACTCGACATGTTCGTATGTACCAACTGTGTATATAATAGCCCTGGATGTGTATACAATACTTATATACATGGCCATATGCTCACCATGTCAGGCTTTGCCAACTCTTTGAAAAAAACCAACCACAGTGCATTCTGAATGGCTGTGTTTCTGTTTCCCTTCTCACCCAAGGTTCAGTCACCGACAAGCCCTTGAGCCAGGGTAACTCAGGACGGAAAGGTGAGTGGAGTTTTATGCTTTATCTAAATGTTTGTTTCTACAGCTAGTCCATGCAGGGGCTCTTACACGAGATACAAAGAGCTCCACAGAAAAGTCATCTCCAATCTCCTTCCTTCTTTCCTCCCAGAAGCAATGGAGGTAAGTAAGGTTCCCAGGGTGGTGGCCATCAAGATCTTAGAATGTCCAAGGGAGGAGAGCAAAGTGTGTATGATCTCTGAGAATCCAGGCTTCGTGGGGATTCAGTAGGTCTATTCCAGAGGATGATGCAGGTGGGACACCCATCTCTGCCTTTGGCTCTTTTGTTTGGTCAGTTTTTATTTGAGTACCCCCCCCCACCCCCATGGAGTCTCCTTAATAATATGCTCCAGTGCATCTAGAATCTCCTCACCAAGGCCAGGCTGGCTTCATGGATGTACAGCTTGTGAAACTGTTTTCCTGATATTTGGAATCACATTGCTTTGAGGCTGAGCAGGCTCAGAGTTCTAGCATCTACCACCAGCCCTGATATCCAGTCACACGTGGCATGTATAATGCATGCTGGGGCTTCCATAGCCCATGTTAGGTTTTTTAAACTCTCCTCTATCCAGAACAACACCAAATAGCAAACTAAAAACCACTACAGTAAGTCAAGAGCCAGAAACTGTGTACAAGAGGGTAAAGCTTTTTGTTTTAGTACGTTTAATGCCATTTTTCTTCCTTTTTTGTGTGTTATGTGTGTGCTAGTCCCAGGGCTTGAACTCAGGGCCTAGGTATTGCCCATTAGCTTTTTTTTGCTCAAGGCTGACACTTTGCCATTTAAGCCACAGCTTCACTTCTGGCTTTTTACTAGTTAATTAGAGAGAAGAGTCTCTTGGACTTTCCTGGACTGGCTTTGAGCCGCAATTCTCAGATCAGCACCCTGAGTAACTAGGCACCTAAGTTAGGTGCATTTTGTACAAAGGGGCCCACACCTTCCTTTTATATACAGTGCCCCACAAGTTGTATAACTGGTATTCCTTCCAGTGCTGCTGAAAGGGCCAACAATAGGTACATGGGATTTGCTACCCGCCATTTCCAGTGTGGCCCGAGGTTGACAGACAACTGGTGGTGGCATGGAAGTCCGGTATCCATCGCATTGCATGTTCAGGCACTGGAGAGCTACTATCTCAGGCTGAGTCTGCGGCTTTCTACCTATACTTTAAGTTGGAATTGCTGAAGATGAACATGAAGGCCACAAGCTTGTCCTTCACAGGCAGTTACAGGGAGACAAGGTACCCTGGGCTTGTATCATGGGGATAGGAGAAGAGGAAAAGCTATCCATTCTGAGTGCAGGAATTAAGACTCTGGAGAACCTCTTGTCCTGAAATGCATGTGCTCCAAGAAGGCGTGAAGGTGGAGTCCTGCCACCCCTGAGAAACATGGACCCAAAGGCCAGGTAGGCAGCTGTTCTTCCTCTGGTAGGAATGCATGTGAAGGTGAAAGAAAGACCTTTTCCATACCTGTCCCAGAGCAGGAGAAGACCTGCTGATGGGTGAGCTAGAACCTAGAACAACACTAGGTAGCAAATTGAAAACCACCCTGAAAACCAGGCACTGATGGCTCATGCCTATAATCTTAGTTACTCAGAAGGCTGAGATCTGAGGATCACAGATTAAAGCTAGCCCAGGCAGGAAGGTCCATGAGACTTAGCTCTAATAAAACTAATCAGAAAAAGCTAGACGTGGTACCATGGCTCAAATGGTAGAGTGCTAGCCTTAAGCACAAAGAGGCTCAGGTACCCATGCCCTGAGTTCAAGTACCAGGACCAGCAAAAACCAAACCAAACCAAACCAAAAAAAAAAACCCACCGTGAAGTGAGGTAAGCCAAGATCAGAGAGACAAGACACATGTTTTCTCTCATCTGTGAAAACTCAATCTAAAATACCCTGGGGCATGATAAATTATACAGGACTCTAGATATTCACATGCAGTGAGACCAAAGGAGGATACCCTTAGGGGAGGAACACAAAGACTCCCTGTCTAAGTGCTTCCAATCATATAAAATAATATAGCTAGAAACGAACTCAAAGCAATGGAAAACAAAACAAAACAACCACAACAAAATGGCAAGTTGAGAGAAAGGATGTAAGTGGCCTGGTGGCTCCCACCCCTATGGGACCGTGGAGAAGGCTCAGGAAAGTATCTGCAAAGGCTAGCAGTGGATGTGTGTCTGTAGGGATTGGAAGCAGGAACTACCTTCAGTTTTGATTACAGCAGCATATTTTCCCCAATTATTTTTTAAAATGGTCATTATAAAGGTGATGCACAGAGGGGTCACCATTTCATAAGTCAGGAAACGAGTGCATTTCTTTTTGGATAATGTCACCCCTTACTTCCCTCTCTTTCAGTTTTTCCCTCCCACCACCACCCACAAGTTTTTTTTCTCTTCATTTAAGTCCATTTTATTGCTTACCATAATAAACAGGATTTATAACTTCCGATGCTATCTCCCTCTTGTTCTTTGCTACATTAAAAAAATTTAATTTTATTGTCAAAGTGATCTACAGAGGGGTTACAGTTACATAAGTAAGGTAGTGAGTACATTTGTTGTTGAACTTGTTATCCCCTCCCTCATTTTTCTCCCACTTTCCCTCCCCCCAGCCTCCCCCAATTTGTACAGGTCATTATAGTTCATTTTCAACATAGTGTTTACTGAGTACCCCATAGCAGCTGAAATCTGAAGGAGCAGTGCCTTTGTTTCTGAGCATGAAGTCCTGTTTAATGACAAGGAGAAAAAAAAATCAGCAATCATGTAAAATGACTGCCCAGATTTTCCTCACCCCAAGCCAGAGACTCTTTATCGCCTATGAACCACCAAAAAGTGGGAACTAGAGGTGGGGCTCATGTGGTGGACAGCCAGCCTTGAGCAAAAAGCCTCAGGGACAACGCCTAGGCTCTGAGTTGGAGCCCCAGTACCAGCACAAAAGAGAGAGAAAGAGAGGGATGAGGGTATGATGCTGATAAAGCATATACACCAAGAAAGGCCATTCGGGATCTTAACCTAGAAAAGCACTTTCTAGGTTGCTGTGGCTTCAGACCCTATGGATAACAATGAGAGGTCGGCCTGTGGGTGCCCTGTGTTCTCACTGAGCTGGAAGAGAGGCAGGTGGGCACTGGATGACACAGTAGACAACAGTGAACACTTCATGTCCTCTCTTAGCTCTGAGGTCAGCCACTAGATCCAAAAGAAGACAGAGGAGCCATGCCTGTGGGGGTGATGCAGGGACTGGGATAAAACTTGAAATCTCCTATGGAAGGGAAAAGTTGCTGTCAGTCCCCCAGCTCTTTGCTTCCTGTCTCCCCCTCTTCCCGCCCCCCCCCCCACGACTTCTTTCCTTTTGTGCAGTTCTATAAGGGTGCAAAGGTCAGTACATGGCCTGGAGTGGAAGATGCTAGGGCTTGCTCTCCCTTGAAGAACTCTTCCTGGCTATTTCCCCCCCTCTGTCTGGAGGAACAAATGAGGGATTGAATCCTCTTCTCTTTGTCTGCCCTGGTCAGGCAGGGAAGAGCAGCAGGTTCAGGCCATCTGTAGGAAGGGCCACCTGAAGCCACACCTGTCCAGGAAGCTGGAGTTGAATGGGGACAGGGTGTGAGGGGGCATTTGTAATATCCTGTGTCGACCTGCCTGCTGAGGTTCCTCTTTCAGCTGCACTTAAGAAAGGAATGTGCTCGGCAGGGCAGCAGGTGGGAAGACACAAAGGCCCCTTGTCTGAGCTTGTGCCCACACGTGGCTTCCCCCCAGAAGGCACCTCCCCAGAGACCTGCCACAAAGCATTGTTGGCCTGGTCCCCTGGGCAGTGTGAGGGGTATGGCCGAAAAGGAGGTGAGGCAAGAGGTTTGCAAGGGGGGAGGGTGCAAAGGCACAGAGGACACCCAGCCTCCTCCTTCCTGACCATCTTGCCTTTTTGAATATGCCCCACTGATGGGGCTGGGAAGGATCGGTTCTCTCTGCCTGACTCGGATGAAAAGATGCATTGTGTGGTCCCAGAGTCTGGTTGCCAGCCAGGAATCAGTCCTCTAACAAGGAGGAGAGGAGAAAGGCGTAATGCAAAAAGCCAGGGGAGAAGGCCCTGAGAGATAGAGGGAGGAAGGAGGGAGTGAGGAAGGCCAGGCTGTAGCAGGTCATAGCTGCTCGAGGCCTGGGTTTCTGTGGTTCCTGGGTCCACAGGTGTGGGGCCCCTGAGGGAAGAAGTAGGGGAGGAGGGGCCCACTGCTATCTTCCCCAGATGTACGTGTTTGGGGAGGGGAGGAGGGTCAGAACTTCAGACTATTTACTTAATCCCTTGGAATGTCTTTTCCTCGCTCCGTTCTTTGGGCCCCTTGTGTTTAACGGACTTCTTTATAGGCACATGTGTGGTAATTAACACGTGCCATGTAGGTCCTGGGCCATGTGTGTGAGTTTCAAATATCCATTGATCCTGGACAATCTCATCCTGGCCACCCCTCCCCTTCTCTGGCCATAGCCCTTGAAGAAAGATGGAAAGGAGGGGGGTGTTAGGGTGGGGGTACACACGTGCGTGCACATGTGTATTACTGATGGCACTGAGAAATATCTAAAGACAGGAAGAGGGCCCCAGGCAGCAACTTTTGTTGTGAACCTCTGCCACTAAAACAGCTGAGGGCTGCAGGAGTTGATAGATGGAGACTAATTTGGGGTTTGCACTGCAGCAGTCCTAATGAAAGTAGCTGGGTAATGGACTGTGTTTAGAGGTTATTGACTTGGCATCTTCATTTGGCTGTGCTAAGGCCTGAGGATTTTCTTGAGCTGCTTCTTTCTGGGGTCTTGAGTCTAAGGAGTATAGCTGAGCTTCCTGGATAACTATGCTATAGTATGTGCGTGTGCGTGTGTGTGTGTGTGTGTGTGTGTGTGTACACGTACACACACACACACACACACACGCACACGCACACGCACACACACACACTCTCTCCCCAGACCTCTGTTGGTTCTCATCTGGCTTCCAGGCTGAAGGTAGGCCTGC